GAGTACTGTCAGGGCGCGCTCACGCCCCCCTACCTATAAATGCAAAATCACATATATATACACTTGGATCTTTCTTTATGATGGAGACATCTTTTAGGATCCAGGATATTCTAGACTGCTTCCTACTTCTCCAAAGTCCTCCAACACATTGTTTCTTCCTCCAAGTCTCTAGAACAATTGTTCCTTTGTCTCTTACCATATGGTTGTCCAAAGCCCTTTTTCTCTCCCATCTTTTCCTGCTACATCATATCCTCTGCTGACCTTATAAATCAGTCCAACTGGTTCATTTGCATATTATTAAGGGAGGCCTTATCTTTCAAAGACAATATATGTAACTTAAATAACTGAAGTCTAATTATTCACATATCTAAGCTATACAAAAATCACCAACCTATCCATAGTAACACAGCATTCTGGGAATTAAATTGTCACACAGCATTTCACACAGTTGATAGTGAGGCTAGGCTACTTAGTGGTAGACTGGAGAGGAGATGCTGCAACACTAGTCAAGGTGGGAGATTCATAATGAATAACTGTTCTGTGGACATGTATTTGCTGCATTTGTTGTCAGGCATCAATATTTTCTTGGTTCTCCTTTGTTTTTTCTACTTTTTATTTTATTGCCACTGTGCCTACCTAGTGCTGCTTGTATTACAAATGTTTTGGTAATGCATATTCAGGTCAAATTCAAAACTAATGATATCTATTGAGACTTTCAGGATTTAGAGGACCATTAACAAGTATTGAATGCCCTCATCTTACACCTGATGAGCAACTTGAAATTTGAGAGGTGGTGGGGCAGAATGTAGTATATTTATGCCAAATTGTTTGTTTGTACTATTGTGCTTTGTCATTGGTTGTAACTTTAGAGTTCCCTGGCTGAGAAACGAGTATTTCACAAATAAAAAAAAGTCTGATGCAATGTGCCCTTTGCTCTATTGCAGGATAAACAAAACCTGATATTACCTTCTTATTTCAGATATTGCGAAGTGGAGCCATTTTGCACCGACAGTAAGCGTGAATTGCCTAAAGGTTGAAGTTTGTCTCCACGGAGACATTAAGGTAAGACTTTTACAACACTCTTGTAGTTACAAGTGGGCTGTCATATTGTGGATTATATTATATTTTATGATTTACCAGCTGTAAATAGATATGAATTACCAACTCTATGCACATCAAGGCAGATCTGAATCGGACTTACTTGCAGAGAAAGCACATATTTGTAAATAATAGCTTTTCTGTTGGACATGGCCTTCTGTTTTTGTTTTGTTTGTTTTTTTTTTTACAAATTAAGTGCACCATACTGTCCAGCAGTGCACTTCCTGATGAACTGGTAGAAAGGTAGTGTTGAGTTTAAAGAAACTGTTCATGGTGGCAAGTTCTGTAGTGGAATGTTTTTTGTTTTGTTTACACAAAATATAGTATATAAAAAAGTAATATAGCATATACCGTTGCTATACAAGCCATGTTGTAATTTATTGTTATTAAAGATTACCTTTCCTATTCAATCTGCAGCTGCAATTTTCTGTAAATGTCAATACAATACGGCTACCTGGAGGTGTTCTCTACACACCTGGTGTAGAAAATCCCCCCAGAAATTTAATTACCTGCTTATATGGTTGATTCACTGATTTTCCCAGAAGTCTGCACTAAGACAAGTCACATTTCAGCCCCCCCGCAAAATAAATTTCAGTTTTGGTGACATTCTCTCCAAGGGTTAAATACTTCCAATGAGATGCAAACCCAGGGGTGGACTGACCATTTGGAAACTCGTGCACTGCCCGAGGGCCCGGGGTCAGTAGAGGGCCCCATGAGATGCCCCTGGTACCTTTTTCATAGGCTTTTTTTGAGTTTGGGCAAGGACACAGGGGCCCCATGATCCCCTATTGCCCGGGGGCCACATAAGTTGTCAGTCTTCCCCTGTGCAAACCTCACAGTTTTCTCATATCAGAACACTGAGAGTGCATCTGTTGATTGCTGAAACCAGTTGAAAGTCTGTAATCTAGAAATCATACATCTATTTCTTTAGAGCGACAAAAGGTAGGAATCACCTATGAAGTTTATTAAACTGCACATTGATCACCCAGAAGAAATTGCTTTTTTTTCTCAGATAAAGTGGAGTTGCTCTTTAATATCCTTTACTTTTTCTGATTATTTTTTATATGTTATTTCCTGCAAAATGCATTGCCTGTCTTGGATTAACCGCTTGAGCTCCAGAAGATTTACCCCCCCCTAATGACCAGGCCTCTTTTTGGTACTCGGCGCTGCACTTATTCAACTGATAATTGCGCGGTCATGCAATGCTGCACCCAAACTAAATTTACATTCTTTTTTTCACACTATTAGAGCTTTCTTTCGGTGTAATTTGATCACCTGTGCGCTTTTTATTTTTCACGCTATAAAAACAAAAAAAAGCCAAAAATTTTGACGAAAAACAATATTTTTTACTTTCAGCAATAAAAAATATATAGTAAACTCTAAGTTGGTTATTAATTTAGGCCAAAATGTATTCTGCTCCATGTTTTTGGTAAAAAAAAATCCCAATAAGTGTATATTGATTGCTTTGTGTGGAAGTTATAGGGTCTACAAACTATGGTATAGATACTGCAATTTACGCCATTTTTCTGCTATACAGCGCTGCGCTAGTTTAACGGACAATTGCGCGGTCATGCAATACGGTACATAAATTAAATTTACATCCTTTTTTTTCCCACAAATTCAGCTTTCTTTTGGTGGTATTTGATCGCCTGTGCGGTTTTTATTTTTTGCGCTATAAAAAAAAAGTCTGACAATTTTTAGGAAAAAAAAAAAATATTTTGGACTATTTGCTATAAAACATGTAGTAAAAAAAAATGCAAAAATCAAATTTAGTTATAAATTTCTGCCAAAATGCATTCTGCGACAAAAAAAACCCCAATACATGTAAATTAATTGGTTTACGTGAAAGTTGTAGCGTTTACAAATGGCGGGAAAGATACTGGGATTTTTAGGGTTTTTTTATACTAATAATGGCGGCGATCAGCAAATTATGGTGGCGATAAGTGACTTATGGCAGCGACCAGCGACTTATGGTGGGACTGCGGGACTGCGGCTGACATTCTGACATTGGGGGGTACTGACTTGGGGTCACTGACATCCCCAAAAACACTAATACAGTGATCAGTGCAAAAAAAAAAACACTGACACTGTACCAATGGCACTGGGGAGGAAGGGGTTAACTTTATTTTGCAGGGAAGGGTTATCTGTGTGAGGGGAGTGTTCTACTAGGGAGTGGGGGTGTGTGTTGCACAGGACACCGCTGATCGAGAGAAACTCTTCTTTCTCGATCAGCTTGTCCTCGAGCTGTCAGGGAAGTGACAGACAGCACAGCTACTGCAGCTGTGCTGTCTGTCACTGTTTGCTGCTGATCGCCGGGAAACAGCCGGTAAGGACCGGCTGTGACCCGGCGACTGACATCCGCGGCGGTGATCGGCGGGACAGATAGGGCAGCGGCGCGTCTCGCGCGCGCCCCCTATCTGTTTACAAAACACACGTTTTAAAACGTGGTTTTTGCCTGCCCGTGCCGCCCTGCCGCCGTATTTCTACAGTGGCAGGGCGGCAAGTGGTTAAAAAGCAAATAAATGACATTTCTTATCAACAAACTATTTATAGAAGGTGGAAGGTCTGCATGACACGTCAGACATTAAATATTTTTTAATGCTTTAGCACTGAGATAGTTCAGTGTTTTAATGACTATGGGTGTCCAAAGTTTGCAATGACATATATATATATATATATATATATACAGTATATACATATATATACAATATATATATATATATATATATATATATATATATATACACACTATATTGCCAAAAGTATTGGAAAGCCACTCCAAACCATTGGATTCAGGTGTTCCAATCATCTCCATGGCCACAGGGGTATAAAATCAAGCACCTAGGCATGCAAACTGCTTCTACAAACATTTGTGAAATAATGGGTCGCTCTCAGGAGCTCAGTGAATTCAAGCGTGGTACCGTGATAGGCTACCACCTGTTCAATAAGTCCATCCGTGACATTTCCTTGCTACTAAATATTCCACGGTCAACTGTTACTGGTATTATAACAAAGTGGAAGCAACTGGGAACAACAGCAACTCAGCCATGAAGTGGTAGGCCATGTAAAATGACAGAGTGGGGTCAGCGCATGCTGAAGCGCACAGTACACTAAAGTCGCCAAGTGCCTGCAGAGTCAATAGCTAAAGACCTCCAAACTTCGTGTGGCCTTCAGATTAGCACAACAACAGTGCATAGAGAGTTTCATGGAATGGGTTTCCATGGCCGAGCAGCTGCATCCAAGCCTTACAGCACCAAGTGCAATGCAAAGTGTTGGATGCCGTGGTTTAAATTATGCCGCCACTGGACTCTAGAACAGTGGACACGTGTTCTCTGGAGTGACAAATCACGCTTCTCTGTCTGGCAATTTGATGGATGTGTCTGTGTTTGTTGGTTGCCAGGACTTGCCTGACTGCATTGTGCCAAGTGTAAAGTTTTCTTGAGAGAAGATTATGGTGTGGGGTTGTTTTTCAGGGGTTGGGCTTGACTCCTTAGTTCCAGTGAAGGAAACTCTTAAGGCATCAGCATACCAAGACATTTTTGCACCAGTTCGTGCTCCCAACTTTGTGGGAACAGTTTGTGGATGGCCCCTTCCTGTTCCAACATGACTGTGCAGCAGTACACAAAGCAAGGTCCATAAAGACATGGATGAGCGAGTTTGGGATAGAGGAACTTGACAAATGTGCTTCTGGAGGAATGGTCAAATATTCCCATAGACACACACTCCTACACCTCTTTCCAGAAGAGTTAGCATAGCCTAGCCTGATTTATTTATTTTTGTCCTGAAAAGGTGTGTATTTAGCTGTTTACCAAAAGTTCAAACCAGTGCATTGTTTGATGAGTTTGCAGGTTTGTAACATGATCAACATTTTTTTACTCTCTTGATCAGATTTTGCTGATAAAATGAATGTCTCTGATCCGATTACCATGGCTCTATCTATTGTTCTCTGTGTGTTTCTGGCCATTCTCTTATATGGATGGAAAAGAAGGACCTCCAACTTTCCTCCTGGACCCACACCTTTACCGATCATTGGAAATATGCACATCCTGAACATGAAGACGCCCTATAAATCATTTATTGAGGTAATAATGACATCTGCAAAATATACTGCAGCAAAGGACCAGAAAATCCCAGAAGTATAGAATTATATGACAACATCTAGGCTAGTGTTTGTTTATTTTATTTACTCCAGAGGATCCCTTCGAATAAATTTGAGGTCTGAGAGAACCCTTGGCAAAAAATTACATAAGAGATCACGATACATTCCATGATCATTAAAGTGTTTCTAAAGCCTGTTTTGTGCACAGATCAGCCCAGATCATCTAATTCTTGAGTCCCCAGCAGGTGCTTTTGACCCCTTCCCCCCTGCTGAGTGTCCTCATAGCAAGAAGCTCTAAAAAACCTTCAGTCTTTAGAACCACTTTGAGTTGTAGAAAGTTTAGGATAGCAATAAATAAACTGGCATAAATAGGGTATTTGATACCCAACGCTGATTATTTTACAACCATCCCCTGCTTTATGCAGCAGTATTAATTAAAGTAAACAAATAATAATGACCAGAAAAGAAACATAAACTGTAAAAGTGGTAATGTCCCCTTGCATTGTTGGTCTATGGAAAAAAGCCCCCTTTACACTGCTAAGTGTAGAAGTGACCCATTACTTTGGATATCAGAAAGATATTGCCCCCTTACCTTGGTGGATATTGTAGGTGGGAGATCAATCTGCCGCTGATCACTGTTTGAGGAACTCCTAGTGACCACTGGTGGAATAGGTACCCGAAACGTTGATCTCCCTCTTTACCCATGTAGAGTGTTGTGCTCCACTACCACATAGTTGATGCGTTTCACCCCTTCCACCGATGCTTAGTCATGGAGTCTGGAGGAACCCTAGGATTTCATGGAACCCTAGTTGGGAAAGCCTGATATAGGCAGTCTGTGTCAAATGATATGCTTAGTTCTCATTGAAAAAGGAAACACATTTTTGCAAATTTTTATGCACAATTATGTTTTGATAGGTTTAGCAAAATAATATACATTGACATCAGTTTACAAAAATCTAAGACATGCAGTGTTATCATTACTGTGTAACATTTGCTATTTTTTACACTATCTATTTGTTTTAATTCACTAAAGCTTTTATTGCATGACATATGAATTAACTCTATGTATATATTATCTATTTTTGCATCTTTTTTATATGTAAAATCCAACTCACATAGAAAGTTGCTTGGGTTTTCCATTATTAAAGTGTACCTAAACCATAAAAAAAAAAAATATATAAACAAAAATGTAATATCTTGTAATTTGCCATTCACTAGATATACAGTAGTGACTGCAGTTCTTTTTTAGACATTTTGGTTTTACATTTTACATTGTGGTCCTGCCAGTAACACAATTCCTTTCTTAGAGTGAAAACGTTCACTAACTGTACTGTATGTATGGAGGAACAGGGTTGTCACCCTAAGACAGGAAGTGTGTTAGGACGTATCTCCATAACATTGGAGGGAAGGGTGTTGTGTAGTCAACAAAGCTGAACTGAGCAAGTCTCAAAAGTTCACTGGATGTATTCTTTAATGTTTTAACCCTTTTGCTGCCAGGTCCGTAGACCATACGGACCTACAGCACTGCTTGAAGTCTTCCAGGTCCGTTTTCCGTACAGACCTGATTCCTTCTTCTGCTATAAGCGCACAGTCACTTCAGTGACCATGAGGGGGGATGTGTTTTACCAGCTCCCTTCCTTTCCAGTAAGAATACAGACAGCGATCAGTACATATCGCTTTTGTATTCATTATTCACTGACACATAGTAAACTGTATTTACTATGTGTCAGTTTGTGAATGAAATATAGTAAACACTGTTTACTATGTTTAATTTTATGAATGAGTAGGAGTCTCTATACAGACTCCTATCTCATTCATCTGCAGTGCAGCCCAGATTACAAGAGAAAGGGACTGTCTGCAGTCCCTTTCTCTGTCTCAAAAAAGAGACATTAGAGCACCCCCCCACCCCCTACCCCCCATACACCACACCCCGCACACACACACACATAGTGAGGAAGCAATGTGATACCTCCTATCCACCTGTTTTAACCCAATTTTGCCAGCAAATGTGTATTGCACACAGTTGCAGGGCATTTTTGTCACTTCTACTTTGACTTAAATGTGTGTTCAGCAAGTTGGGTTAACTTTGCCGTGTGTGTGAAGCATCTCAGGCCACAGCACCCTGGCCACTGCCAATAGTAGCTTAAGAGGAGAAGGTTGGCAGGCAGCAAAATGCAGCTCCACCATGCATTTTTGCCACACCCCAACTTCAGGTTTAAACAGGGCCTAAGGCCTCATTCACAAGGGACATACTACAGCAAGGCTGTGTTTAGTTGTGCTGGTATGCACAGGTGTTCCATGCATCCCCATGAAGGCAGTCCCATTGATGTAATTTGGGACACAGTAAGTGCAGGGAATGTGCAGGTGTTTCTGTGCATTCCTGTATAGGCAGTTCCATCCATATCAAATGGGATGCAGCAGCTGCATGGGCACATGGAACTTGACATTCATGTGGGTTTATAACCCTGAATTCACACTGTCTGCATTTGGGGCCATACATTTGCACCTACATGGATGTCAGATCTGTCCTCCTTGCAGCCGCAACGTCCCAATTGACATGAATAAGATTGCCTGTGCAGGGATGCATAGGATAATTGTGCATCCATGTGCAGATAAACATGGTCCTCCATGGGCATATGAGGCCTTAGTAGGAATTCAGTGGAAGTAAACCATGCCCCTTTATTGCTGTCAGTGGGAGGAATAGCACCTCATCGTTGGTGTCATTATGAGGAATTGTGCCCCATCATTGGTGTCATTGGGCCCCATTGTTGTGTCATTGTGAGCAATAGTGCCCCATAACTGGTGTCAGTGGAGGTAATTATGCCCCATTGTTGGTATCAGTTGATAAAATAGTGCCCCAAGGGCCAGATAAAAGCAAGCCAAGGGCACTCCACATAGTACGTAAAGCTTTATAACATTTTAATATCACAAATAATATACAAATGCACACTCACATGCAAATGGTGCCTAACCGCACCAGCTGTGTACCACTTTTGGTTATAATAGCTTGGCAATCTGAGTAAACTGTGCCATGAAGAGTCTGCTGTATCTGCCTACAGCAGTGTGCACTCCAATATTGATATAACATTGCATGTAAGTGTGCATTTGTATATTAATTTTTTATATTAAAATGTTATAAAGCTTTACGCATTATGTGGAGTTTTTTTTATTGATGAGGTGAATTAGTGGTGAGATCCGACATCCCAAATGAAGTGGGAATTACAACTGATAATCCATCAAGTGATATTCAGAGTCCATTGTGGGACCACAAGATAGGATTATGTGAGGTCACACTGCTGGAGGTGAGCAGACATATCTCGAGGTGGAAGGATGCACTTTTGTGTGTGCAGCACTTGGTGATTATAGAAGGAAAAGAGTGTCACTAAGAAGAAAACACATAATTACTTTTTGGATATTTTTTTGGACATATTCTTTTGGATTTTAAGTATATAATTATTATTAATATATTATAATTTTTTGTATTTTTATCACATTTGGTTTTAGGTAGAATTTCCACTTGTAGCGCTGCATTGGTTCACTTAATTTATTACAAAATCCAATGTTACAGTAATGGACACATGATGAGTGTTTCAGAACACAGCCCTTTTGTGATGCTGAAGGCCCTCCCTTCTTTGGAAGTTGTCAATCACTGATACTGTCATGCAGAAGTTGGTCTTGGTCTTTTTTTGAAACTAGTGCAAGATACCTTCCCAGGTTGGTAAGATGTGAGCACAGCTAATATTTCTGCTACTGGGGCCTGTTGTTTTATATATACAGTTAGAGATGAGGTTTGGGTTCACTGCTACCATTGTTTTGTGGCAAATCCTGCTGGTTTGAGATTTGCAGTATTAGTGAATTTATGTGCAGATTTGCTTTAGGAAAAATATTTTTAAAACATTAATGTACTGTATGAATTTGAATTATGGCCAGCATGCTTAGAGAGACCAATAAGGGTGCTTTTGGATAAGCCAGCCAGTTCAGGGGTAGAAGGCAGTCACAATGTCAGTGCTTTCGAAGATGCTTTAGGGATAGGATAGGGAATGCCGACAAACTGCTTAGGAATAGATTGAGGTCAGTTAGGACATTGTACTTTAACTCTTATTGATTAGCTCTTTTGGGCAAACAAACTCCTTTGCTGACTCTTTGGTTTTATTATTGGTGGTTTTTCTTGTATTTTCTTTCATTTTGTGATTGTGCTTGATGATCTGCCATCACTTTCAGAAACTCGAAATGTATTTTTGCTGAAAGACTTGTAAAAAATTGGATGTTGTTTCAGGGGATGGTCTTTTAGGGGTAAATTGTTTTTTATTGTAGGTCGATAAGGCCTTTTATAAGTTTGAGGTACTCAAAATGTAGCATTTTCATGTTACTGACCATCTAGTTGTGGAGCTGCCTTTTGTTCAGGCATCATTTGAAAGAAAAATTAAATTAGGACAGTGTACACCTAAACTCCCTTCCATTATATTTCTCCCATTTATCACACTCCCTCCCCACCCCCTTAGTAAAAATAAAAGTTAATCATACACTAGTTAGGACTATTGTCCCTGCAATAAATCAAATTGAGGTGCTGTTGTATGTAAGACAAGCCATGCCATTTGTGGAAGAAAAAGAAATCAGTTCTACAGACAAATATATACTGCCAGATTATGCTGTCACCACATATGGATTTGAAGTATCCCCGCAAGGTCATTGATTAAAGAATTTACATACTCATTATGTTGCCTTCAAAACTGCAAAAAGAGGGTATGGTATTTTTTTCTACATTGGTACATGTCTCCCATGGCAGCTTTCAATGCCTTTTTTATATTTGTTAGTCCCAAAAATGTCCATAACTTACCAAAAAGATTTGTCTCCCTTAGACTTTAATGATATTTCCTGCTAAGTCCAGGTTTGTCAAATTGAAAACAGGATTCATAAATCCCTCTGCAAATCGAACCCATGAAGACTCATCAATTTCTACATACAGTATTCAAAGATTTAACTTTTTTGAAAATTCTGCTCGGTTATATATTTATACGACTGACATCTGGTCCAATTACAGCTCTCTAAGAAGTATGGTTCAGTGTACAGTATCAAAATAGGAGAAGAAAAAATGGTGATCCTCTGTGGTTATGAGACAGTAAGAGATGCTTTGGTAAATCATGCTGATGAGTTTTCCGGAAGACCAATGATTCCGCTCTTCGATGACATCGTTAAAGGACACGGTAACATAAATGTTTCACATTATGATATTTTCTGATATTTCCTTGACTTTTTCCTCTCGTTTTATTATGTATTTATTTTATATTTACCCTTTTGCCAGATGTAACTAGGTACACCATTGTTTTAGCTGATTCACTGCTGTTTTGTGAATACAGACCTGCAGGATGTCAGGTGACACATGCTCACAGCTGAATGACTCTGATGAATAGACCGGAGGAAAGAAACACCATCTACTCTTCTAATTCTAGAGACAGCGCCATCAGGATCTCCTGTCCACAGAAGAAATTAGACAGCTTGCCGTGGATTGCCTAAACTGTAGCACGAAAGCATCTTGCTTAAATTTTTATTTGTCAAATAACATCTTTTATAAAGATCTAGTTAAAGGATCAGTTCACCTTTGGAACATGTCACATGTTAACACCTGTATTTAGGGTGTAACATGTAAAATGTTTCAGCACACCACACCCCCTGACCCACCCCCAAGACAGAGAGCAGGAGTTCCCCTCCCCATGGCCACTGCCACAGTTAAAATCAGTGTGTCCAAATCTTTTGTTCACAAGGATCTGTGAATGAATGAACTACAAGTCCAGTCTTCCACCTCAGCAGACGGCTTGTAGTTTTCAATGGACTATGAGTGCGCTGCTCAGCACACTTGTAGTTCATTCACTCTTCCTCTAGCTTTCTACCTGAAAGCCCATACAAAGGTATGAGCAAAAAGCTGGAGGGACAGTGAACAGGAGCCTGTTTTGCTGATCATCGGTGCAATGCTTTGCAAACTCCTGTAGGGAAAAATAACAAATGCACGTTTTGTTCTGGAAAAATGTGTTCAATTATTATTTTTTCATAAAATAAGATTTTACCCTTCAAAAAAATTTACAACTGACCAAAAACCACTAAAGTATCCATTTAGGAATATGAAGGGGGCTGAAATGTTCTCGGCCCAACCAGAAGGAAAATGAGTTAGAACACTGTTTTTCAACCTTTTTTCAGTAAAGGCATACTTTAAAAATCTGCACAATCTCAAAGCTCCTATTCAAAAATGTAGGACACCCAACATTACAGGTGATTTATTTTTATAAAGCATATACTTTTGCACACTGGTACTGACTAGTGCTCCAGCATTTCTTGTCTCCCTTCTCTCCATCATTCAGCTAACGTGACCCCAGTGCTGATGGAGAGGGACAAACAAAGATATTCTCAGGTGTCTGACGTTCTCCTCTTCAATCTATGACGTCATTGGTTGTTAGAACGCCAGTAGATGATTCTACACTGCCCAAGGTTATAATTCTGCATAGTAAAAACCTGTGGTTTTGTGTAACAAAAAAAGGCAGGCTTGATCCACCTGTCAGCTTGATGACAATTTTTGGGCAGCTTCAGGCAATTTTTAGACATTTTACCAAGTCACCCCTGAAAAACCCAGAAGGCACCCTAGGGTGTCACGACACCCTGGTTGAAAAAGGCTTGGCTAGAGCAACAAAACTTGGCTGCTATTCTACATATTCTTCCCTAAGTCCAACACACTTACCACATCATCTCTTCAATTTCTTTAACGCTTCCAACAAAAAATTATTTTGACTGCCTTGCGAGAAACTGCTCTGTTGCTGCTATGACCTCTCAATCCCACAAATATGTCTTTCCTTTCAGTGTCTTCTAAAATTTAGGAAATAGGACGGAGGAAGACCTGGTGAATAGGGTGGATGGTCTATGCACTGAGACGCTAAATCCTTCAAAACAATCAGTGTTTTGTCTGCCTTGACCTACAAAAACAGCACACCCTTCTACTCCACCATGGTTCATTAAATTACTTGTAACAATTGAGAAAATAGAGCTCTAATCCTCCAAATTAGCGTAATATCATATAAAAAATCACTATTTACAATTATAATAACAAAATTGGTGTTACCTGTTGGGAAGGGGTCAGGCCAAGAACTTTTCAGACCCCCCCCCCCCCCCACTCGTAATATACAAATTGTGGTAGTCCATAACACCTAATCAGATTTTAATATCTGGCTACAATATGGGTAAAATAGGCTTTAAGCTTTATTATTTCAAAAGCATTGGAATGTTTAGAACTTTTTTTTCCTGTCTGCACTTCCTTTGGGAGAGATTTCACCTTACTTCTTTTCACGGTTACCACATAAGAACCTCCCTCAACATGGACAAAGACAGCAATAAAAGCCCAACAGTGGCTCTTAGCTTTTCTTATTTTCCCTAATAATTTTATTGCTGCCACATTAGAGAGATTTTCTTACTTCCTTTACCATTGGCCTCATAGGAAGTTCCGTAATATCTTCACAACAGAGATACGTATGCACTCACTGGCCACTTTATTAAGTACACCTGTTCAATTGCCTGGTGATACAAATTGCTAATCAGCCAATCACATGGCAGCAACTCAATACATTTAGTCATCTACACATAGTGAAGATGACTTGCGGAAGTTAAAACCGAGCATCAGAAGGGAAAAAAACGGGGATTTAAGTAACTTTGAACCTGGCATGGTTTTTGGTTCCAGATGGGCTGGTCTGAGTATTTCAAAAAATGCTGATCTACTGGGATTTTCACACACAACCATCTATAGGGTTTACAGAGAATGGTCCAAAAAATATCCAGTTGTGTGGATGAAAATGCCTTGTTGATATCAGAGGTCAGAGGAGAATGGGCAGACTGGTTTAAGATGATAGAAAGGCAACAGTAGCCAAAATCTCTGAGGAATGTTTCCAACACCTTGTTGAATCTACACCACGAATAATTAAGGCAGTTCTGAAGGCAAAAGGGGGTCCAACCCGGTACTAGCAAGGTGTTCCTAATAAAGTGGCCAGTGAGTATAAAGAGCAATAAGTCCACATGTCTACAAAGAGTCCCCAGCACCCCTCAAATGCAAGGCTTATGATAGTTACATGTATAAGCAATTTTCCAATGCCATATAGAATACCCTTAAGACAAACAGTAACTTTATTTACATGGTTTAAAGCTGAACCCCAAGATAATCAAATGTCAATATCTAAGAGCCATGTGTATTCTTATTTGAATCTAGTGTGCTTTGTGTATTCTTTCCAGATCTGTGCAGTAATCAAAACTTTCCCTTTGTGCAGAAGCTTCCTGTGAAAAAGACCAGTCGCTGCTGCTCTCTCTTCTTGTGCAGGGTGACTGGTCTTGTATCCGCAACTCCTGTAGTTTTCTACAGGCTTTAATGGGTGAGCCTGCTCATATTTAAAGGAAGGTTTTTGTGCTTGGAGTTCAGCTTTAAATCTGACCTCAGGCTCCTTTGGCAATGTTGTCATTTGTTCTCACCCCAGTCAGTGACACTTTTTTCTAGACACCTTGCCTGTATGTAAATTTTCTAAAAAAATACAAAGAAGTGAATATGAAATCGGAAAAAGGAAATTATTTTCAGAATATTATTAAAAATTTAAATTTTATTAAAATTCATGCAAGTATTGTTTATGATAGTGGCCCTTTAATCGAACCTTTAAAACTAAATGTAACACTTAACCTGAACCTTTTGGGGTCCATTCAGATCTATGTGATCCTTTGTGGTGAATTCATGCATGTTGTGGCGCAAGCTAATGCATGTTCTGTAGAGACAGCTCATTTATCAATGCACAAAACAGACTAAAAATCAGACATGTACCAATCTTTCTGACACAATGCACCACAACCCAGATAGAGTGTAACCATGCATTATGGTGCAGAATAATGCATGTGCTTTGGAGATGAGTTATTATGTATTGCTAAATCTGAATGGACCCCCTTTTAAGAGTTTCAGAAGCCGGGAGGCGGGGCAGGGTTTTAGGGTCATGTGGCCGCCGTGATTCGCCGTCACGGCGGTCACAAGATCGGCAAAGGTCCCAATTGAAAGGGGAGATCGGGATCTTTCCATGAGTCACAGACATATGAGCTTGGAGCGCACAGGGCGCGCGCTCTCAGCACATGTGTTTTCTAATTGCAGGCAAATATGCAGCTGTTTGGCATCGACGCCCAGACTCCGAGAGACCGCATATACTTCTGCATACTGTATACAGGTATAGGGCGAAAGTGATGTCAGCTTGGGCAGACCACATATGCATCTCCAGCCTTGTGTGCACCACAAGCAGCCGTGTATTCCATGCCTGATCAGGTAATGCCTTGCTAACACAGAAGAGAGCCTCTGATCGCTGAGAACATCCCTGCAGGTCCTAGATGATGAGAGAGGATGGTGATCTACTGGCCACTAGAAAGTCAAAGACACTAGATTCAGGATGGGGGGGATAGATAGAAGCTACAGGGTTAAAAAAAAGGATAGAGGCCTAACAAAGAGGAATATAGTGAGGGGCCTTACCTATGTACCACTACCCCCTTAGGAGTTGCAAGAGATGTGGGTCCCCCTTTAGTTATACACAGCCAAGGATCACAATTTCCTCATTCAAACTTGCATTAGGAGATAGAAACCAGTCCTTGAGCTTTGTTTTTGTTATTTTATTTATGGGTTTTAGAACTTGGATGAGGTAAGGGGTGTATGTGATGCCTAAGGGAAATGGCAACTGAAGACAAACTCCGTAGCAACTGTGTACAAGTCTCTACAGCAGTTTCTCTCCTGGAGAGCTATCCAGCATCTGCTGTAGTACCATCCCAGACCCCAGATGACTCCTCTCCTCATCCAGCTGTACTGGGTGAATCCCTGGGCAGGGGATCCAGTGCCTGCCACTGCAGTGTGAAACAGTCCCGGGAAAGATAGCAAATCCAGTTCCCCACTAGAGTGCTCCTTTCCCCTTACTGGCCCAGGAGGTGTAGGTTTATTCACTTGGTGCCTCTCCTGTGCTGCCGGGGGAGCTGATGGCTGCTACCAGGCCTTTTAGCTGGGCTACACAGGTGGTCCTCTCTCAGGGGGCTGGTGAAGTCCAAAGTTTTCCACCTTCCAAGATCCTCTGCTTGCAGGTGAGCCCCTCTCCATCTGAGCCCCCTCACAGGCTCCTGCATCCAGCCTCACATCCTTCTCTCTCTTCTTCCTTTTCCCTCCAGTTTTCCTACTGCTAAGCAGGTTCAGTTACTTTTAAGGGTTGTCCTGGCCCCTTACCAAGCCCTCTGTTGGGGATTGGTCAGGATCCCTCAAGAGTACAAGCCAGCTACTCCTCATATTCACCCACTGCCTCTAGACCTTCCTCCAAAGCTCTAGAGCACGGAGAAATTCCAGAGGGGTGGTCTTCAGAGCCTCTCAGCCCTGACCAGAATTTGACCTTCTGACTATTACACCCAGGCTGCTACTCAGACATCCTTTCTAACAATTAGGACTCCAGCTCCTCCTAGCTAACTAGGAGGGTGCTACACCTGTGTAATACTATAAGTGTCTGGGCAGAATAAATCATAATCCACTTTGCCAAGTCAAGGGTTTATATCCAGCATGTGCTGGTCATGACTCAGGAAATTCAGCACTGCAGACAAAGGACAGCTCCTGAATGGTGGGGAAATCGCATGCAATTTGGACAGGAATCGCACCGCATTCTTGTTCAAATTGCATGCAATTCTTTGTAGTGCAATTAGAGCACATTCATTTTGTATGGTCTCAAAATTGCACCACAAAAGTATTGGTTTCAGGTATCGGGAACATTTGCATGAGTACGAGTACTTGTGTAAGTACTTGGTATTGGTGCATCCTTAATTGACATACCTCCTTTAGACCTCGGTCTGTCCAGCCAGTATGTTCACCTGAATAAGCACCCTCTACAGACAGCCTAAGAGTTCAGGATGAGATCCTGTACTAACAATCCGATGTTAGTACAGAAATCTCCCCACTGAGCTATTTTATATATATATAAAATAAAAAGGATACACAATAAGCATTCCAGGGCACTTTATCTCTCAAAAGCACAGTGCAATCTTTGTTCAGGCATTATCCAGGGTCAGGATCTATTTCTTCAGTTGTAATTCTGGCTTAAGAATAACACGAGCATGTAAATTCTGGTGTCTGTGAAATGTGTGGCACAAATGTCTGACACATGTCAGCCTCTGCTGCAGACTCTCACCTTGTGACTTCCTGCAATGTTACAGTTTTGCAGTCTGGTCGCTAGGGAGAAGAAGGCTGTCGAAATGCTTCCTCCTTCCTGCAGCAGATGGATGACATCATCTCAACTTAGGCAAAGTCCCTAGATTTGACCTCAAGGAGAGCTTTTTAATGTTAAAAGGTAAAGCTTTTCTTACAACATTTACTGTTCTGTATATTGTAACGTGTCCGCAATTTATTGATTTAAAATGATTGAAAATCCCACTTAACCTATTATCATTACTTTTATCATAACCCACCAAACTCTAACACCAAAATAACTCCATATTTCCTTGAACTATTGATTTCGTAATATTATAACTGCTTACATTTTTGATACTGAAAACAACGGGTCCTTCTTTTATGGGACTGCCAGACAGGAAGTTAGCTGGTATAGGAAAATATCACCTGGGGCCACTTCAGATGTACTGAAACTTTTATCAGTTGTGGGTGGACTTATAAACATATTTCTTTCTCCCATTTAGGAGTAATTTTTTCCAGAAATGAAAACTGGAAAGTGATGAGAAGATTTACGCTTTCAACATTAAGAGATTTTGGAATGGGGAGGAAGACAATTGAAGACAGGATTGTGGAAGAATGTGACTGTTTTAGTGAAAAAGATCAAATCATTCAAAGGTCCTGCTTCTCAAATCTTGGATGACATTTGTGAATGAATGACACTCTTGTAAAGAATATAATATTAATATCTACGCTGTTAGTAGCATATACTTTCATGTTTCATAATTAAAAGATGATACCCACATATCTAATGAAGGACTAGTTGTGAGGTTTGAGTTTGCTGCTACCATGGGTTTGCAGCAAATCTTCAGGATTTGCAAATTTCACTGTCAGATATAAGGAACAAACTTACATTGTAGTGCATAGCATTTCCCGTTGGTCAGTTAAGTCACAATAGGAATTTGAAGGAACTTGATAAAATGGATAATCCAGTCTCTTTCTATAAAAGGGAGGGGGGAGGAGGTGGTCAGACTCAGAGACCAATGGCAATAGTAGTAGAGAGGCTCCCACCGACCAGCTGGATAAGTACACAAGCAGGTCACACCTTAGCAGGTGATGTAGGATCCCTTGAGCTGAAAGGTCTAAGCACTAACCAGTATTCACCAGAGCTCCTGATGGTGGAGATGGGTTTTGTTTTATGTTAGTACCAGGCCGCAGTCTCTGGGATTGCCTCACCAGGAGGTAAGCAAGCCGGGGTCCAGTAGCAGATATATCAGGTAGGGATCAGGCAGAAGCATACTAGTCAGTAAACAAGCCAAAAGTCGGTAACAACTGGTTGTAGTGGGATCAAGGGAAAGCGCAGTTGAGGAACAAACCAAGCGTCGGTAACGAGTAGTAGTGTAGAAAAGGACAGTTGCAGATACACAAAGAAGCAAAATATCCCCTGGAGAGAGCACAATAATATGACAAACAGGAAGTGCAAAGGCATGCCTTAAATAGGAAGTCTATGGGAGGAGCAAGGAATTTAAGGTTCACCAGAAACAAGGCAAAAGACAAGATTATCCAAAGGTTCAGAAAGGCTGCTGTCTAGCATCTCAGGCATGCCCTGAGCAATGATCTATAGAGGAAATATGAATCTAAAGGCTCATAACAAGTAAGAAATATGAGATCCTTTTTTACACATGTTCACAATGTGTGTGTACTTTGTACTGTAAAAGTTGCCCTATATCAGCAGAATGTAGAGGTCTCGGTCTCCAGCACTCCTCTAGAACAGTATCAGACCACTGGAGACTTAGATCAGTGGTCTAGCTTTGTCTGTGAAAATACTTGTTATACTGGCTAAAAAAGTAAAAAAGTGGGGATTCAATTTGGCTAGGCTGGGAAAGTTCATAGAACCCTTTCTGAACAAGAAAACCGATAGAGTCATCTTGTATATAATGCCAGGAACATGGCTAAATGATCACTTCTCCTTAGCAGGTCATAGATGTAGTAGAAACCAAAAGTTAAGGTGGTTGTGAAGGCTCAAGGCTTTTTACCTTCATGCATTCTATGTATGAAGGTAAAAAACCTGTGTGGAGCAGTCCCCCCAGCCCCCCAATACTTAGCTGAGCCCCATCTCAATCCAGCGATGTGCACGAGAACAGTGGCTTTCCAAGGACTCTTATTCCTCATTGACTGAGACAGCAGCAGGAACCATTGGCTCCCGCTACTGTCAATAACAGCCAGTGAGCCAATGAGGAGAAAGCTGTGGGGGCGGGCCTGAGCCATGCTCCGTGTGTGAACGGAGCAAGCCTGCTCTTGTGCTCCTATAGCAAGCTGCAGAAGGGAGGGACCAGAAGCTCCGGTAGGGGACCCATTGCACAGAGCAGGTGAGTATGGCATGCTTATTATTTAAAAAAAAAAGCCTTTAACATCACTTTAATTTTTAACAATGTCATGGTATATGATCACTTGAGAACTTAGATTTAATTTTCATATTAAAAATTATTCCTATTATTTTTACTTTTTTCTTGCATGAACACATTTTTAACAGTCAGTGTGGATTCATTCAGGAAAGTCAATTCACTTCAAAATTGAATGTTAAAAGTTAACATTTTTTTAAATTACGTTCAAATTATAATTAAATGTACTTATTGAAATTTTCGTATGAATGTGCAAACGAATGTTCATTCAAAAATTTACTAGAGTATGGCCAACTTTGGTATTCCCTAAGGATATAATGGAATTATCACCTCAGTGCCATACAAAGAAAATTTTTTTTCCTCATGTTTTAATGTTGTTGTTGATTAGCTTCAAGGCTACCCCAGCTGCTTTGTCTAATTCAGCACACTTCAGCCACCACTTTTTTGTGAATTACTCAAGTCAAGCTATACCTATGTCTGCACCATGCTAAAAATATCAAGGCATCTCTCAAATAGATGGTATCCTGTTGGTTTCTAATTGGCTGAAATTGCTAAGTGAGTAGCTAAACTCATCAACGACGGGGAAAGGGAACACCTGCAAACTGATTTGCCTAAAAGTGAAGAGTGATGACTAATGCAGGCCATACATGGGTTGAGCTCTGAATGAATTTTCTTTAGAAAATCGGAAATTTTGTGCGTTTTGTAATAAGATGGTGCGACCATTGATTTAGAAGTTTGAACAACCAAGCCTTCAATTTCACCTCATGTTGCTACAGAAAATAATTTTCATACTTGGGAACCTTCTTTTCTTTCCAGGTCACAGCTCATGCTCATTTATTTTTTGATTATATTTCTCGCACAATTCTGCCATCATTGATTAGAAATTTTTCTTCAAAAAATTTCCAACCTGCCCAATCACTCAAATTTGATGGGCACATGAAAACCTGCTCACTAATGATGCAAATTTGATTTTCGAAAGAAAATTGGTTTAGAATTTGATCCATGTATGGCGTGAATTGTAGGGAAATCCTGTTTCTTGAAACTATAATCCACATATACTGTATGCTAGGAAGTTTTACTTCTTTAATATTGATTTTATTTCACCCTTTATTGTAGGGGAGCCTTTTAATAACAAAATGATCATAAATGCTGCAGTAGCCAACATAATAGTTTCCATATTGCTGAGCCATCGGTTTGATTATGAAGATCCAAAACTTTTGAGGCTTTTGAAAATAGTTAATGAGAATACCCACCTCATTGGCAGCCCATCAGCAATGGTAACCAATTAAATGTCACTATTAATGCAGACTAATATGGGCAGATGTGCAGATGTAACCACTTCCTTTTACCTACTTTTTTTATTATCCTTTTTTTTTACAACCCCAATTCCATAAAAGTTAGAACACTGTGTAAAATATATATAAAAACAGAATGCAATGACTTGTAAATCTCATAAACCAATATTTTATTCACAATAGAAAATAGAAAACATATCAAAATATTTAAACTGGAAAAATTTACCATTTTAAGAAAAAAATAAGGTAATTTTGAAATTTATGGAAGCAACATGTCTCAGGAACAGAGCAACAAAAAGCTGGCAAAGTAAGTGGTACTAACAAGAAAGAGCTGGAAGAACATTTTGCAACTAATTAGGTTAATTGTCAACAGGTCAGTAACATGACTGGGTATAAAGAGAACATCTTGGAGAGTCAGAATGTCTCAAAAGTAAAGTTGTTCCAACTTTTTTGGAATTGGGTTGTATTTACTATATTTTCATTTATATTCAGAAGTTCACTTTTTTACTGATTTATTAATATATTTATTGGCTTGGCTGTGAACTTGGTGCATGATAGGGCTGAGGGCATGTTCTGAGAATGTGAAATTTTACTTGGTCATGCAATCAGAAATTCAAACATCAAGCTCAGAGCCAAGCCAATATATTGTGCCTCAAACAATTTTATTCATCCTGTGTTTATTGAATTTTATTCTATACTAATTCTATTAATACTTACAGCATTTCTTGAATAGCATAAAATGATGATTTCTAACTAAATTAGTCATGCCCCTCTAGCAAATGATTTTTCCAGTTTTGAAAAGAGCAGCACTACTTTATCACTCTGCTAACCCTCTACCTGGGTTGATATCTCTTTATGCAATGGTATCGTACAGAACAGGACATTATAGGAAATCCCCCATCTGCTTCCTATCTATGTGACATAGGTCAGACGGAACAGGACAGGACACCTTTTTCTAGTAAAATAAGGAAAGTTTAAATAGTCTTCTGCCCAGGGGTGGACAGACAACTCATGGGGCCCCCGGGCAATAGGGGATCATGGGGCCCCTGTGTCCTTTCTTAAACTCAAAAACGCCTATGAAAAAGGTACCAGGGGCATCTCATGGGGCCCCCTACTGACCCCGGGCCCTCGGGCAGTGCCCAAGTTTCCAAATGGTCAGTCCGCCCCTGCTTCTGCCTATTTTCCCATGAGAGAGGTCTCCCCTTACTTCCTGACCAGATGACAGACATTCGACAGAATAGATAATCTTCTATGGGGACAAAGGCAGAACAAAGCAAAAAGTAAAAAGAAAAGTAAAAGTAAAATCCTTTAATTGTATAATATATAGCAATAAATGTCAAATAATCATTTGTTAAGTGCAGATAGTTTAAAATGTGGTATTAATTACACATTCATGCCTAAATGTCTAAATATACAGTATGTTATTGTTTACAAGTTGTTTTTTATGTATTTTGGCAGTTGTATAATGCTTTTCCCTCACTGATCCGCTGGTTGCCTGGAACGCACAGAACAGTTGTAAAAAATGTGGATGAAATGCATGCATTTATTAAGGAAATCTTTACCACCCAAAGAAAAGAACTGGATGTCAATGACCAGAGGAATCTTGTTGATGCATTTCTAGTGAAACAGCAAGAGGTAAGGCAACACATCCAAAAAAGAGAAGAAGCCACTAAAGAGTTTACACTCACCAGCCACTTTATTAGGTAAACCTGATCAATTGCTTGGCAACACAAATTGCTAATCAGCCAATCACATGGCAGCAACCCAATGCTTTTAGGCATCTAGATGTGGTGAGGACGACTTGCTGAAGTTCAAACCGAGCATCAAAATGGGGAAGAAAGGGGATTTAAGTGACTCTAAGTGGCATGGTTGTTGGTGCCAGACAGGCTGGTCTGAGTATTTAAAAAAACTGCCATCTTTAAGGTTTACAGAGAATGGTCAGAAAAAGAGCAAATATCCAGTAAGTGGCAGTTGTGTGGACAGAAATGCCTTGTTGATGTCAGAGGTCAGAGGAGAATGGGCAGACTGGTTTGAGATGATGGAAGGGCAACAGTAACTCAAATAACCACTTGTTACAAGAAAGGTATACAGAATACCATCTATGAACACACAACACATCGAACCTTGAAGCAGATAGGCTACAGCAGCAGAAGACTACACTAGGTGCCACTCCTGTTAGCTAAAAACAGGAAAACAGAGGCTGCAATTTGCACAGGCTCACCAAAATTGGACAATAGAAGATTGGAAACATGTTGCCTGGTCTGATGAGTCTCAATTTCAGCTGCAATATTCAGGTGGTAGGGTTAGAATTTGGCGCAAACAAAATGAAATCCTTGTGTCAATGGTGCAGGCTGGTGGTGTTAGTGTAATGGTGTGGAGGATACTTTCTTGGCACTAGCAAGATGTAATAAAGGGCTGGTGAGTGTATACCTTACATACAATACTGCTGAAAAAATAAATAATAAAACTTAACTTTCAATTTGTTAGAACATTTTAAAATACATATCTGCTACACAAGTGACTTTGGAATTTAATGTCACCAAAGCTGGAGTTGGGATGACACAATTTCTGGGGCAATATCTGATATGTTTATGGGAATAGCAATGGTTATTACAAAGTTTACAAAACTCACTTTTTCAGGAGAAGCCCAGTCATGAATTATTTTTCACCAATGAAAACCTGACAGCGCTTGTAACTGATCTCTTTTCTGCTGGGATGGAGACAACCTCGACCACACTTCGCTGGGGAATTCTGCTGATGATAACGTATCCAGACATCCAAAGTAAGATAGAAGCAAAGTTCTTGTACAGTCTCCATGAATTGCCATGCAACTGTGTTTTTTATGTAACGTCTAAAAATATTGTTGATTTATTGTTTATATTCCTCATACTTGGACTGTTTTTTATGATTATAAATTCATATCGAGACCTATAACCACTGGCAGGTGCAGCTTTGAGTATGTCAGACAATAGAGCTGGCTCCATTACCTGAACTAAAACTGAGAATTTTAGAGAATTCATGATTTTGGAAAGGGTTTTATTTGTCTTCAAATGACCCAGCAGTCTGTTCTGAAATGCATGGAGACACAGATTTTCATTGATATAAGTGGAATAAGTGAAACTCATAGAAATGAAAAGGACCACAGACTGTCAACAAGGTAGAAGTCCGGCACCAACTTTCAATGAGACAGATAAACTATAAAGGTATCCATACAGGGATTCAGGAATCTCCACTGATAGCTATTGTGTTAAGCAGCCATGACACCAACAGTTGCCCATGTACAGTGATGCTGCTGAACAGTGATTGTCCACCCATAGCTTTCAGGGCCACCCATGGCTTGAATTTCATCCAATTTCATCCTAAATATCACATTTGCTGTAGTATATCCTACAGGTGTGCCAATTCATGATGTAGTACATCCTAAAAGTGTGTTAATTCATAGTGTAGTGCATTCTACAGGTTTGCCACTTTGTGTGCAAGTTTATAGTATGCCCCAAGCATGTTAATTCATTGTTTATTTTTATCATTGCCCTTTATTTCCTTTTATCCACTTGACCACCTTCATGACCAGGGCATTTTTTCTATTCAGCACTGTGCTACTATAACTTGCAATCATTCGGTCATGCAACACTGTATGCAAATTACATTTTTTCACACAAAGAGAGCTTTCTTTTGATGTTATTTGATCACCACTAGGTGGCAAAGTATTATTTGTAAAAAAAAGGATTCTTCCTTTTACAGAGTAACATATTTTTTTTCTAATTAGGGAAAGTTCAACATGAGATTGAAAAAGTGATTGGATCATCTGTGCCCCATGCTGGTCACCGTAAGAACATGCCATACACAGATGCTGTTATTCATGAAATTCAAAGATTTGGAAATATTGTTCCAACTAACCTCCCACATGCTACTACTCAAGATGTCAACTTTAGGGGTTACTTTCTTCCAAAAGTAAGCAGCAAAATTTTTTTCATGCTTTGCTGTTTCATTCTTCAAAAGAAACGGAATGACAATTCTACTGGCTTTGAGCTAGGATTTCTGAGGCAGTAGGCAAGCATCAGGTGTAGGTTATGCACTGTCCGGCAGCATTGACCATAAACATAGCAAGGGATTTAAAGTATTTTTTTTTGGCAGGGATGTGTGATGTAATAAATATTGAGCTGGGGAGTAGTCCAACATGTCAGTGGTAATAGTTGTTATAATCTCATGGACTTTCTACCAAAAGGGTTGAAGCTTGGGACACATTCACCAAATATGCAACATTGTGCTGTCTGCCTCATTACATCTCCAGCACCGATTGGGGAGAGAGGGGTAAAACTTGTTATAGGGTGTCCTGCACCAAAGGGTGAGGACTTTATAACCATTGACGCTCGCCATAGAAGGTGTAGGAAATTAACTGACATCCCAGAGATGAGCTCTGGATTCAAGCAGAGGAACATTAAAGGCCCTGGCAATGAAGCGGTCGGTAGCATTTTGTATACCCAATAAAGGGCCATAAGCTGTGGATTAAGTAGGGGGTGCAATCTCACCTCCCTCAGGATCTGACAAGGGATCTAATCCATGAAGGTTTACAACCCTGCAGATTTAGGAAATGTCTAAAGTGCAGGTATGCGCAAAACAGTAGTATGTGGAGTAACAAGCCCCCTTCTTTGTAGGAGATAAAGCGCAGCAAAAAGTGATGCGCTAACACATCTTTATTTGGCCATAGAGGGTGTAGGAAATTTGCTGACATCCCAGAGATGAACACTGGATTCAAGTGGAGGAACATTAAAGGCCCTGGCAATGAAGATGTCGGTAGCATTTTGTATACCCAATGAAGGACCATAAGCTGAGGATTAAGCAGGGGGTGCAATCTCACGTCCCTCAGGATCTGACATGGCAGAAGCCAGGGAATTGAGTGTAATTAACAACGATTTCTCAAGAGAAATACGATCCTTGGTCCCACTGTTCTGCTTAGTAAGAAGGCCCAGTGGTAATTTCACTGGTCAGGTAGACAGATACCTCTTTTGTGTTTTAGAAGGGATAGGCCCAAGACTTTTCATTCTGGGGGGTTTGCCACACTAAAGAAAGGCGGTGCATTCTCATCAGAATGACCTGAAGAAGGCTGAGGGAAGCTGTATCAGCAGTTTGCATTAAATATAGGAGCCTAAGAGGACCATTTTGTGGAATCTAGAGCTGCAAGGTGAGCTCATTGGTATAATTGGTCAAGACGCTTAGGTAACTTCATTCCTAGATAAGTAATAGGTTCAGAGTTGCAGACAAACAGAAAGTTAGTTTTACACAGTTCCATATCTCCATCCAACAGGGATATGTTTAATGCCTGCGACTCCGAGTAATGCACTTTTAAGTTATAAATCCTTTGAAAGTGATCAAGATCTTGCAGAAGGTTGGGAAGTGTCATGTGGGGTTCCGAGAGAAAAACTCAGATATTGTCTGCGAAAGCAGCCAGTTTATAAGTCTGGTCTTGTACTGAAATGTCCTTGATGTTGGGGTTAGTGTGCAATCTATTCAAGAAAGGTTCTAGGGTAAAGATGAAAAGTAAGGGTGAGAAGGGGCACCTCTGTCTATTCCCATTTCTAGGTTGGAAGGCATTCGATAAATGGCTGTTTACACAGACCCAAGCTGTTGGAGAGGAGTATAATGCCAAGATACTGGCACACATACTAGGCAGCAGGCCTATCGACCAAAGAGCTGCCACCTTATAGTCCCAGGCAACTCTGTTGAATGCCTTTTCAGAGTCTAGAGAGAGGAAAAAGCCTTGCTGACCTTGGTACGTCAATCAGTGATGAAGGGTAAGGGCCTTTGTTATGTTATGTGCCTCCCTGCCGAGGACAAAACCCACTTGATCCAAGGAGACTAAGGTGGGGAGCAAAAGGAGAAAGTGATTTACCAGGATTTTCACATTCAGCTTGACATCCATGTTAAGCAGGGATATGGGACGATAGTTTGGAACATGCTCTAGATCTTTCCCATCTTTCAGGATAACAGTTACTGTATATGCCCTTTCAATAACTGGCAGGATGGGGGAAGGGGGGAGACACTTTGCAAAGGTATGGAAGGAAGACAAGAAACTGGATGTAAGGACCTTAGCAAAAGACTTATAGTATTCCAGGGTAAGGCCGTCAGGCCCTGGTCTTCTTTCATTTTTAATTTTTTGAAAGGCTCTGGCAAACTCCTCTGCAGAGATAATTTTTTTCTAGCTGCATAGACTTTTTGTCTTTTTGGAAACAGAGATTGGGCCATATTCATGGAGGATGTCCGCTTTGAGGTGATCCTAATTGGTCGTAGTCTTGTGGCTAGGTGGGGTGGAAGACAAGTTATACAGCTTAAGGTAGAACAAATCAAATTGGACTGCTATCTCCTTATTCTTAGAAAAAATATTACCCGTAGGATCTCAGATGTGGTGGATAAATTGGCCTAGAAGCTTTCTTTGTACACACAGCTCTTGCCAAGAATCAACCAAATTTATTTCCCTGCTCATGAAATAATTTCTGAATGAGCATATGTTGTCGTCTTGTTTTCTTACCTAGTTCCTCTAGCCTCTAGGCTCTGGTCTCAGTCAACTCTTGAAAGGTGTGAGTCGCATTAGTGCACTTGTGGTCTGTTTTTAGCTGCTTGAGTCAAGCAATAAGAGTGTCATGATTGTGATACTGTATGATCCGAGAGATACATGGGTAAAGAAAAAAGGTATAATCTTTGGTATTTGGGTGTAAGGTACCAGGTGGCATGGAGGTAGTGAAAGTGTAACTGCAGTTTGATTTGGCAGAGTTGGCAGGGCTGAAGAGCCAGTAGAGGAGTCAAGAATTGGATCTAGGAGTAAATTAAAGTCGCCCCCTAAAATCAGTATGCCAGTAGTGAAGGTCAATTGCAGCTCTTCGATGCTGCGGAAAAAGGAGAACTCTTTCTCATTTGGGCAGTATATGTTGGCAATTGAGATTGGATGTGTCCCAAGGTTACTCTTCAAAAAAAGATAGCTAAGGAAAGACTCCTTCTACCTATCTTGCAGCACAAAATTAAAGTGCTTAGCAAGCAAGATGGAGACATCCTTCATTTAGGAATTAGCGCAACTGGTATGGTATGCTGTCGGAAAGTGTTTGTTCATTAGCATAGGTATGAAACCAGTTTTGAAGTGAGTTTCTTGAAAGCAAATGATTTGTGCCTTTAGTTCCCATAATTCATGGAGAAATTGTGAAAGTTTTTCAGGAACATTCAAACCTTTAGCATATATGGAAACAAATGTAACTGTTAGAGGAGAGAGTATAGCTTTGATCAACAATGTGGTTAAGCTGTGTCACCTATTTGGGTATAGGGGTGCAAAAAATAAGAATGTGCATCTTGGTCCTCTGAGGGCCAAGAACAACGGGCAGAAAGCGGGTGAGAGGAGGAAAAAAAAGGGAAAATCAGAAGGAAGGGGACGGTGATTACTAGTAAGTAGAGAACAGAAAAAATGTGAGCCCCCTCTCCTTCCTCAACAGTTGGACGCAGAAGGGTGCACTAGACACAGTCTGAATTCAGTCCTCCTTGATGTAAAATAGACAGAGAGAAAAAGTAGGAAAAAGAGGAGGAAACATGGAAGATGTGAAGGAAAAAGAAAGGGGAGAAAAGAGAAAAAAATACGGAGAAGGGTGTAAAATGCCTAGCATCTATTAAGTTTTTATTGTGGTCTGTGCCCCCTTAGGGAGATTCACCCTCTCTATTTTGCCTGTTTACGGTTATCTTTGAAAGTGAAAGTAAAAGAAATTCACAAATTTTGGATTGTCCTCACAAAAGTAAGAGAGGGAAAACCTTCCAATGGGAACACTAGTTCTAGTGATCTGGGGGTCCCCAAGGGATTCCCTTAATTTGCAGAGATTTCCTCTCACTTCTTGTTTTAACTATGGGACAGGAAGTGAAGGCACATCTCCCCAATAGGACACAGTGATAGCTAACAAGTCCTGATTTTTGTTTTGAATAAAAACAAGGGTAGAAAGTAGAAGAGTAAATCAAAAACTTATGGTAAACATTAGTCTACTGAAGCAATCAGCATCCATAGAATAATCTACCCTATTGAACTACTTTGTATATATTATAACTATTTAAATATTAATATTTTTCAGGGGACACATGTAATTCCATTTCTGACATCTGTGCTGTGCGATGAGGCCCACTTTAAAAGGCCAAAAGAGTTTTATCCTGAACATTTTCTGGATACTAGTGGAAATTTTTTGAAGAAGGAAGCCTTCATCCCATTTTCAGCTGGTAAGTACAAGCTAAAGTTTATTCTGTTTAAATTTTGTCTTCCTTGGTTCTACTTTTCAAACAACAAACACAACTGTCTAACAGTTCATGTTAAAACATTGGTTTGGTAGCTGCACACATTTGCAAATATATGTGAAAGCCACAGTGCCTCGCAAGGCTTCTCTGTATACTGTGGTCCTAACTTTATAGTTTTGAGTCTCCAAATTGGAGTACATATAACAGAGGTTACATTAAGGGCAGGTTTGCTTGTAGGTAGTAGCTCAATGTTCCTTAAAGGCACAGTAACACATTGGGACTCAATGTGATGTACAGTATTAGTAAAGGAAATAGTTTGTTTAGGCCAGCTTGGCCCAAAAAAAACTATTTAAACTGATAGCAAAGCTGGAAATAGCCTTTAGGCTCCTTCCAGCTTTGCAGGAAACTCCGTCCACTGCCATTCATCCATTTACCAGAATTTGGAGGGGTTTGGTGGAAGTGGAAATGACTAATGTCCTGCCATCACATTATGGTATAGTATGTAAAATATTTGCTATTGATGTCTTGGTTATTGAACTTCCTGAAACTTATATTTGTATAAGCAGCACATTCCGACATTTCTGAAAAACTGAATACAGGTTTGTCTGCTTGCACTAAGCTCTGCCAGTCAGTGTGTTCATTTTAAGGTGATCATATGTCCAATGAATATAGATGATACATTGATATGTAAATGAGTAGAGATCATGCATTGGTCAAGTTGAGTGCATCTTGACACAGCAATGGATGGGGATTGCTATATATCACATTTGATCAGATATATCTGTAGTGATGTCTCTTTATCAGTTTATATGTTCCTCAAAGTCAGTCTGTATTGTAAGTTTTTGTAACTATATTTTAGAATAATGTATCACCTGTAGCCTTCAAGGATACTAGGATTCACTTCAGAGTAACTTGAATGAGGTTTATTTAGCCACTAAACCCCTCAGTGAACCCTAATATCCTTATAATTTACACAAGTGGGTACAGAATTCCAATTCTAATAACCTTATATTGTATCTCCTATATTTAATAGGAAAAAGAAGCTGTGCTGGTGAGACATTGGCCAAAATGGAAATGTTTCTGTTCTTTGTGAGGCTTCTACAGAACTTCACTTTCCATGCTCCTCCCGGAACTAAGTTGGACTTGGAAGCAGCAGTTGGGTTCACACGGAGCCCTATGAGTCATAAAATTTGTGCTGTGTTCCGTGGGTAATATTGGATCATGGCCATGTGAAACAAATGACTTTATATTTATCTGGCTGATAACACAGAGACTTTCCAAATACGTTTTGGAATCTCCAGACCAACTACAATATGAGGATGAACCTCAACACTTTTAACTAGTTGTGCAAACTAGGAGTACAGATACATGATTCCTAAATATGCAGCTTAAAGAATATCTAATAATAAAATATATAATATATGGCAACCTACCAGTTCTTTGATGTGGTGGCTGTTTTCTATTTTCAGGCTTTTTCCTTTATTTTCACTTGGTAATCCTGCCAGGAACATACTTCCTGTCCTCCCGTATCTATGGGGGAGCAGCATTGTCACCCTAGGACAGGAAGCATGTTAGAATACAGAATGCCTATTTTATCCTCATGCAATAACACAATGGTGAGGTGTTCTTCAGTCCACAATGAGAACTGGACAGGACTGGGAACACCAGTAAGTGATAAAAGTGCAGCACAGGCAGAGTGTACGGAAATTTACAAGCTCAATAAATTCCTGGCAGGATCAACGTATGGTTTTGCACTAATCAAACAGATATAACAAAATTATTTTAATTTATCAGACCAAAAGGGTACAAATAAGAGAAGTTTAAATTGTGTGATTTATGTATACAATTAAAATGTTGTTAAATACTAGTGGCCCAATGGAAAATATTACTTTACTGATCCTAATAATTCTGTGAAGCACCAAAATGGACTTTTCACTGAAGTCCACATCAAAGTATTTTTTAATTTTATTTCATATACCTTTAGTTACCAGAAACAACAAATGATATATGAGGTTGTAATGCTACAATAGAACTCTATTCCCAACATTCTAAATGTTTCTAAATTTTCCGGCGGCAGGGATGTTCAGATCTCCAAATATAGCCTATGCTCATTTTATTTATTGGTTTCAAATGCCAAAATGGCTGCTAATAGGAAATAATAGGCCAACCAGACATATTGGTCATTTTTTGCCTATCCTGTTTTAAAGTGTAATTTATACCCATATAAACATGAAATATGGTATCTCCTCAATCCAACCTGACAATTAACTACAATCCAAAAATAGAAAAACTTTCACCCTTGAAAGTGCCAATAATCATATAACAATTCTGTTAGGAATCACAGAAACCCACACACTACTAAATCAAACCCTAAAAGATGAAATAAATAAAATAAATGAATAAACCCTAGGCAGTATTCATCCAGCATTCCGTGATAACCCTCAAAAATAATAATAATGTGCCCATACAAAAAAAATATATAATCATAAAGTCACTCACAATAAATAAAATAAGATAAAAATTAAAAAAATATATATATATAATGTCCAGTGTCTCTCAAGTCCAAAAACTATATAATACAGAATTATAAATAAAAGGTGATAAAAGTATTTGCCCACTCAAAAAGAAATGATCAGTCTAAAAATCGAATGGTAGGTGGATTGTAACACTGAGAGACAGAATAGCAACAAAAAATTCAAAAGAAATGCATGTCTAACAAATGATGCTCTGATTTGCATGTTCATGAGGGAAATAAGTATTTGATCCCCTATCATTCAGCAGGATTTCTGGCTACCAGGTGTCTTTCATACAGGTAACAAACTGAGATTAGAAGCACTCTTAAAAGGAGTGCTTTTAAGCTCATTTTGTTACCTGTATAAAAGACACCTGTCCACAGGAGCAATCAATCAGATTCCAAACTCAAATACAAGATCAAATACATTTTTCCTTCACTGTATCAAAGGAGGGTAATCTCAGGGCACACTGAACTGAATATTTGAAGCTTCTAGTCTATGAAACTGGTTTTCCTTTCTGCTCTAGTTTATAAACAATAATGTTTTTTTCCTACCTGGAGATAGAGATTACTTCTGCTGGGTTCATGAAGCTTGTTCTGCATTAAGATTGGCATCATCAGTTACTCAGCAGGAATGATCTCCATCAACAGTCATAGGAGCGGGTATCCCACACAGCTGACAGATGGCACCATCTACCAGTCTTGCACCATCACTCAGAAGTTCAGACAAATGTGACAGCATAAAGGTAAAGTACACTCAGTGCTTTTTTTCAGGGGGAATGCAGTTCTGGCACCTCCAGCACTGAATTTATGTAATGGCAAGGGGTGCTGAAATGTGCTGGAGTGTCTATTGATACGGTCTGCTGTGGGATCTATTGTTGCTGGCAAAGGTCTAATATTGCTGGGGTGGATTTGTTGTTGCAGGGAATCCATTGTTGATGGGGATCTATTATTACTGTGGAGATGTTGTTGCCAGAGTGATCTTATGTTTCTTTGGGGTCAATTGTTGCTGGAGGGATCTACTGATGAGGGAGGGGTCTATTGTTGTTGGCTGCTGGAGGGTCTATTGATGCTGGCTGCTGGAAGATCTGTTGTTGCTGGCAAGGGTCTATTGTTGCTGAGTGGATCTATTGATGCTGGGGGGTATTTTGTGGCAGGATATCTATTGTTGCTGGGGGGTCTATTATTGCTGGGGGTCTATTGTGGCTAGCTGAAGGGGATCAATTTTACCGCTTTTCTTGTGATCATTAACCAGTTCCATACAAATGACTTGGTGCTACACATGGACACTTGGTTCTTTATCCTCTAAAATGGACGGTACTAGGAAGTGGGTGGGGGGTTGGAACCAAGGAAGGGTGCTCAGAGGTGGGTAAGGGGCTGCACCTATTCTCTGAGAAAAAAACCCTGAATTACACTGAATGGAATACTAGTGTACAGTATATTGGCAATTTAGTACAGATTCTTGAAGCATTCTTGAAGCCTTTAAAATCCTAGCATTATTACCCTCTATATGGTAATAATCAATGTCTGGAAAAACTCATTTCCAAGTTATCTCTGTTATGTATTTTGTATCTTGATAGACAATTGTATTAATGCCTACATTTATACTGTAGGTTGCTAACTGAGCTGTTCTGTGATTGTTCCCAAATAAAAAATACTGAAAAACTAAAGAGAGTAATGGTTTGGCTTTCATTATCTTAGCAAATAAAAGCCTCAAAACAAAATTTTCTACAAAGTAATATATAAGTAAAGTATTAGTGACTTTTAAAAATGTTTTGACAATGCTTTCTATTGTAAAGCCTGCTTCAAAGAGAAAGTCCAGGTAAACTGTGAAAAATGGTGCTTTTAACTCTACAAAAATGACTCAAAGTGACATTTCAATCATTTTTATACACAGCAGTAGAGCTGCAAAGATGCAAGAAGACTGTTACTTTTTTGCTTTATCCATTTTTTTCCCACTGCCCGGCAACTTTTTACTGACTACCAATGTAACCATTTATGTGACCACCTACTGTATGTATGTATTGGGTCTAGTTATGTAATAGAAGTTGAATTTTGACATTTTACTAGGAATTAATATTTGTGAAATTCACTCTCTATCTAGTCCCTTGGTAGAAAAACTGAAACAGATGACAAGGTCAAACTATTGTTCTGAAAAGTGTCTCTAACCATTGAAGGTATGTGCTGTTGTCTGAAAGTAAGGCCAGACTTCTAGCAATGTTTGAACCAATGTCTTCTCTAACAAAATAGGAGCAATTACTAATATACAGTAACTAATACTATACAATTGTCCTAATGTCTTCAAAGGGTCTCTTGCTTGATGAAACAAATGTAATTTGTATAAGAAATACACCAATCAAGACTGAGCATTGTGTACCAGCTACCAGACAAATATTGTATACCTTGCTGTCCTTCTTATCTGTTATTGACTAATGGGTGACCTATTTCTACAGAATGTATAAAATGTCAGCTACACTTCTAGTGAAACCAGAAATATTCACGGAAATATTTCTCTGCATATGCATTCACAGGCTTACTTCCCTAAGAACAGCAGGACTTCAACATTTCTACCACAGTCTCCATTGACTACCAATGTAATGGGGCATTTTTCTACTGACCACTAATGTAAAGGGGTACATCTCTACTGACCACCATTGTAAGGCAGTCCACTGACCACCAATGTAAGAAAGCATCTCTCCACTGACCACCAATGTAAGAAAGCATCTCTCCACTGACCACCAATGTAAGAAAGCATCTCTCCACTGACCACCAATGTAAGAAAGCATCTCTCCACTGACCACCAATGTGAGGGAGCATCTCTCTACTAACCACCAGCATAAGAGAAAACTTTTTTACTGACTTCTAATGTAAGGTATCATTTCTTGAGTGACCATCTGTATTAGGGAATGTTCCCATTGACCATCATTTTAAAGGGCATTTACTCATCAACAATGTAATGGGATCATTTATCCACTGACCATCAATGTAACAGGATAATTTTCCACTGACCATCATTGTAAGGGAATATCTCTCAGCTGACTACCAATGTAAGGAGATATTTTTCCACTGACTACCAATGTAAGGGGATATTTCTCCACTGACTACCAATGTAAGGGGATATTTCTCAACTGACTACCAACGTAAGGGGATATTTTCTCAGCTGACTACCAATGTAAGGGGATATTTCTCAGCTGATCACCAATGTAAGGGGATATATCTCTGCTGATTACCAACGTAAGGGGATATTTCTCAACTGACTACCAATGTAAGGTTACATTGCCCCTTCACTTCTCCCTCTCCCCACTATGGCACTCACCACCTCCTCCTGCTACTCCACCCCCATCGACCCACGTGCCACCACTATCAGACCCACACGCTCCTGCACTTCCCGTTCCCACGCCACCTTCCTCGCCCTCCTCCTTCCCCTATCCACTGGGGACATCTCCACGAACCCTGGCCCCTCACCACCTCACCCCCCCTAGGGACCCCCCCCCCTGCTCCTGCCAGCCGCTGCAACCCCCTCAACCTCATACCTGTACCCCTCCTCCCTGCATCCATCCCCCCTCTCTCGGTTGCACTCCTGAACGCCCGCTCAATTTGCTGTAAGGGTGTGACGCATGGATAAATACTGCTGTCCAATGTTAAATTATAATGTGCCTGTAATATGCTCTTTGGTCAGTAGATGGCAGCAAAGTACGAG